ATAGTCTATATATATATATTAAAGACAAAGTATAGCTCTACAAGTAAGTGTTCACTTCCAGGCAGGTCTTTGTGTGAGATTCAGTTGAGAATGTAATTATTAGGAAAATAGTGAAAAGCAAATTCAAACAAATTCTAAGTTTAACTTGAAAAATTGAAAAGGTTCTTAAGTCCTATCTGATGCATAAAATGGTGGAAGCAAAGGAATTACATTCCAAAGCCAAGAAAGAGGGTGTACAAAAGCAGCTGATTCACTTGACATAGTTCATAGCCTTTTGCAAAGGAATAAAAGCCTGTTGAGCAGGGAACCAAAAGATCTCATTATAGGATGAAGCAAAGCCATATTAAAGCTTGTGCACTAGTAACTATGTCTAAAAACAGCCTGCTGTTTTATATTGAACCAATACATTTCTTAACTTGGTAGGTTGCAGTGTAAAAATGTACAGAGCTTGTCTGCTGGATGCTATGCCAATTACAGATGTGGTAGAGTGGTGTCAAACACCTACAAATAGTTAGGATCTCAAGCAATCTTAGAATGAAACAAAAGATGTTTTAAAATGTCATTTTAAAATCCAGAAAGCACAGTTCAACCTGTGTGTAATGACTCTTAGAATCTTGAGATCAGCTTTGTTATATAATTTAATGTGGACATCATATGATCCCTCAATCAGAATGCACATTTCTTTCAAGGACATGAATAGTGCCTGAGAGATAAGGAGAATATTTTTCAAAAGGAACACCTTCAGATGACAAGGCATCTGTGATCAGCTCTGCAGGAACTGTTTTATTGGTGTTGAGGTGAAGGAGGAGGGAAATACCCATGAATACATTTTATATTAGATTTTGTTAGATCATCAGAAAAAATAATTGAGCATATTTACACAATTACACGTTAGTAAACTATTCTGCCAGCTTAACTATAATAAATATTCTGGTAAAAGTACATTAAATAGCAATCCAAAAGCAATTTGGCTGCTGAGGACATTATTTTTTACCTAATTATTCACAAATTAATGAATAAAATTAAATTCCAATCACTAAAGAAAATGAAGCAATGGTTAGAATCAGAACTACAGATTAGTTAAAGCAAAGATATGCAATGCATAACAGAATTAAAGCATTTCTTTTATTCAAACTCGGTGCTTAAAAAAGAACAAATCCATCATCTTGAAATTTGACTTGTAGCTTGACATTAAAAATAATATGAGTAGAATTTTCAGTGGGGTAAGCACAAAACTAGTTCAAGTTGTGTCACTCTCAATTACTGTACTCAGGTGGTGTGCCCATTAAAATTCCCACTTGTGGGTTTCACTCACTATGCAAATGGGGTCATTACCTGGAGAATTTAATTGGTTATGACACTGGGAGTAGGAATTTTCTTTCAAAATAAGCCCACTTACATACATTTTCACTAGAAATTTGATGGTTATATATACTTTGGATTGTTTTGCTCTCTAAATATTTACTAAAATTAGACTGTCTTTGCTTACTTCTTACAAATAATTCAAAGTGGATGCATATTAACTTGATACTATTTTATTTGTCTATAAGGTTAGTTGGAATAAATCTTTTGTAAGCTGTATTGCTTATCAAAATATTACAAAAAAAATCTTTGTTTCTTTCACACCACCAATTACATGTGGGTACATTTCCAGTAAAGATATTCATTGTTTAATAGTATACATTTTCTCTTTCATAATAGTTTTAAATATTTAATTTGAGACACTTCTCCCATTTTTCTCCTTTTTTGTCTCTTTAAAAAAAATGTACAGTTCAAAAGTTAAGCTGCCCTCTTGGATGTATAATATTTATAAAATTACTGAAGATTCATGTCTACAACACTTTCAAGGTCCTTATATTCACTGCTGAGATGAGGGCATTAAGCTGTCAGAATTAGTTCTGAAGACACTTCCACCAAGAGCTATGAGACAACTGAATTTAAAGAGAACAAACAACTGAATTACTTCATTAAGTATACAAATGTCTAATCACTATGTTGTACACCAGAAACCAATATAATATTGTCAATTGTAACAGAAAAATAAATTTAAAAAAATAAAGAGAACAAACAACAAATCAGTGTAAAAGTGCAGCGCTCCATACACCTACCATCTGTTTTCATTGTGGTGATTTCAACTGGAGAAAACCTGAGTTTATAGCTACCCTAACAAAAATATTGATAATGACCTAAGTTTACAATGAATACTAAAATTACAGTGTGGTTTAGTGTATATAATATTAAACTGGGCAACCAGGAATTTACTTCCTATAAACTCACTACCAGCAGTTCCCAGAGTGAACTTGAAGTATGAACAGAATTGTTATAAGTATTTATGATATAATCTCAGAGAAGCAGTAACAATTCCTTGAAAGAGAAAGGCCATGCAGTCTAAATTTCTATTATTGTATCAAGTTGTACTACAAGCTAAGATTTTATCACTAGCTTATCTGGACCTAAAGATAATATTTTTTCTTTAATGTAAAAATGAATATTCTAAAAGCAGAGAAAATAATAATTCCAAGAATGATAGAAAAATAAATACTACAAATTCATGACTGGACCATTGGGCAGGAATTTTAACATCTGTAACTATGGGAAATTTCCCATAGAATATCAAATATGGATCCAAGTCTCTGACATTCATTTTTCTATGATATTTCTAATTGTGCCCGGAGGATAAGAAGGAGTTAGCGCATCCAATAAATATAATCATTTACATGCACGAAGCTCCCTTTGAAGTTAATAGGACCTATGGAAAGGGGAGTTATGCACCACGAAAACGGAGTTCAACAGAATATAGTTCTTTCTTTTTAACACGCCATGGTATTGCCACCACATTGGGATTTTCTTACTGCTTATCATTCCTTTGTATGTGATGTTTAAGTTGGAGTTGAGTGAAGTGCTCCATGTGTAGAGGAAAGATAGCCAGAAAGAGAGGATGTGATGATTGGCAAACATACACTCAGGGGCCAGCTTTGTAAGGTAGCATCCAAAAGTGATTGGGCCTGACATTTTAGAACTTGTTTAACTTTTCAAAAGGAATCCATATCCATTTCCTCATTTGATCTTCACAACCCTATGATTTATCTAAGATATATACTTTTACTTCCATTTTACAGATAAAAAAAT